TAGACTAACCTTTAAGCATAGCATGAACTAATTTGTCATGGGCTTTCATGTTTGTCTCATAGAGCACATTCCACGACGGATAATTGAGATTCACAGAGTCATTGATCCATTGCCCACAAGCGTAATCATAGAAGTCGACACAAGGGTCGACTCCCGAATCCATTTTGGAGAGGAGACGAGAAGAAGTGAGAACGCATTGTCGCGTGGAGCATTCTGCAAAGGTATTTCAATTCTTCTAGCAGCGAAAACATTTACATTTAACAGTTTCTTGTGATACTTGCAAAACTTATGCAACCTCAGTACCTTTCTTATTGTTGAAGAGCGAATAGGCAATACAAACTAAGTCTAAAAAAGCCGCACAACTGAGTAGCGACACAGAGTACATTGGTAAGGGGCGTTCCCTACGATTTCGCCGTCTTACCGCGGCATTAAATATAGGATTCTGAATCTCTAGTTCTGAAGCTTGAAGTTCTTTGAAGTGTACTTTTTTTGAATCATAGGGCATAAGGTACATAATAAAGTTTTACTGATCATATAATGAATTCCGAAGATCCAGCATGGGGATGTATGGAACTTGGCTGCAGATAAGTTTTATGCGTCTCTATGTACTGCAATTATTAATATGAATCATTCGCTAACATAGCCGCGGGTTTAGGCCATATGTTATGGACGGGAGATCTTATGTGTAAATTACGGAAGGTTTCCCTTGTTATGATCTGTTGCAATATTGTATTTCTAAATCCTGTTGATGTGCCCTCTGACATATCCTGATTTTGTTTTGTCTTAAATCTACCTTATCACTCTTGGTAAACTGCAGAAGAAATTTTTTGTCATTTTCCTCCCTACAAATAATGCCAAAACTGGATTTTTTCGTCATTATGTGAGGGTGGTCTGGGATGCAAGTGTGCTAAGAAGTAAGAAAATTTTACTTCTGTGGTTATAAGAGAGCGTCACTCTTTGTGTACACAATTTGCGGAATCTAATGATAGTCTTTATGAAAGAGATGGAGTCATATGCCGATAACGCAGTAATTGATAGCTAGATTTCGGCTAATGACTACTTATCCCAAGAAAATTTGTATAATTTTATATATTCTGGAAAAAAACTTACACTTAATTGACGGTTAGGTAACATTGGCGTCTTTGACAGAAAATTGAGGGATGTTGAATAAATGCAGTGGGCTTGAAGGTATAAAGTTCTCAAAATCAAGCACTTGTGTGAGTATATGACCATCGCAAGAGAACTTAATTCCCTCCATGTAGTCAATACACTACTTTCTCGTCCACTTGTACGTGTATAAGATTAACAATCGTGATTAATACGACAATGGGTCAATTACTCCCGTAAACTTGAACTACACACCAAGCAATTGACCAAATATTTCTTAAAAATTAATTCCGTAAAAACACAAAAGCTCACCAGAAAATCGCCGATGAACGAAAAACAATGAAGCAGTTAGAAACATGACGATGAAGGCGGCTGTAATAATCGCACATACGTTGCGATACAAGGCGGCGGTATGCTGCGGTTGGTTAGTGGCCGCCGTCGCCGCCGCTTCCGCCTCTCGTGGTGACTTGAGCAACGGAACGTCTGCTGCTTTTGCCGTTTCGCCGTCGGCGCCATTCTGACACAAAAATAGAATCATGCCATTTAGTAGACTTGTACCTAGAAAAGTTCTGAGTGTTCTCTTCTCTATTTATCAACGCGTTTGAAAAAAAAGAAACGAATTATTATTCGTTTTTGTGCAAAGCACTTAATCAGTATTTATAGAAGAAAAATTAAATTCGCTGTTTTACTACTTTGACCTATGTTGAACCTGGCAACTACTAAAGGTCTAGGAACTCATAAATTTATCATAGATCGCAGGCTGATCTCTTTTCAAAAGAGAAATTTGATAACTGAGTTGTTCAGAACAAGGCTCATTTCAGCAAGGCCTTCTGTTATTTTCTCTTCCAAGCAAAAATTCTTTTAGAACATCAAGTTGACTCGTATGAAGAAAAGTTAGACAAAGTTGTACCTTCTTTCAGCTAAAGAAACCACATTTTGACAGGTATCAATCTGTTATAGCAAAAAGCGCTATGAGGCTGAAAATCCCACAATTTCTTCTAAAAACTCTTGCTTTGTTGCAGCGGAATTCAAGGCCGTTTCAGCAGGCACAACGATGCTTTTCACATTCCAAGCCGAGGCACTGAGTTAGTAGGAATATCGCACTTATCGTTGACACAAAAATGTTCTTCTGCTAACAAGGGAAGGATATTTAGTGGCCGTGGCCGTTCAGAATGAGATGTATATCAGAAGATTAGTCTTAG